TTCATAACCTTCTCTGTCCCTTCCATTTGAACGCTCCGATTTCACCGTCTTCAAAGTCTTAATACTTTTTGAGCAAGGGCCCGGCAGTTTCTTTGTACGCTGGGTCCCACAAATTACGTATCCTGTCCTGATCGTCTCTCGCGGGCGCAAACAGGACTGCTGGATCTTTGAACCCGCCAGCTGCAGGACCCCGGGCCCTCTCCAGCCTCTGTACTTTTGTCTATTTATTTATTTATTTATTTATTTATTTATTACCCGTAAATTAGTCTGGGAGTGGGAAGACAGGTAAATGCTTTTGCGATCCACGGCTCTGATGCGGTGACCACTGCCTGTCCTTTTAAAACTTGGGGTTCAGTTTGGTTGATTTAGCAGAGGTCACCAGCAACCGACTTTGCAAATAGTCTAAATTCCTAAAGACCTCAGACTTGTTCTTCCCAAGCCAGAGATGGGACTCCCCCTAGTGTCTGATAGGGGAATCTTCACTTTTGCTTTTAGTTTCCCTTTGAAGGTAATTTTTAGGTAATTCCTACAATTTCAGGAGTCTAGCAGCCAGGGAATTCCCAGCCTGCCTTGACCCGTGACAGGAGAGAGGAGAGAGAGGAGAGGAGAGAATGTGCACCATCCGCTCCCCTCTCCCACCTCTCCCCTCCCCTGTCTGAACCTTGCTTTCTCTACCTTCAGTGCTTTTCAAACTTTGGTGTGCATCACAATTACTTGGAGGGCTTGTTAAATCACAGATTACTGGGCTCCACCCCCAGAGTTTCTGATCAGTATGAGTTTAGGGCTGAGGTGTGAGATTTTGCCTTTTTTAATTTTAATTATTTTTTGAGAGAGAGAGTGTGTGTGTGCAGGGAAGGGAGAGAGAGAATCCCAAGCAGATTCCACACTGTCAGTGCAGAGCCCGATGCAGGGCTTTAACTGTGAGATCATGACCTGAGCCAGAGCCAAGAGTTGGACACTCAACTGACTAGGCTACCCAGGCGCCCCGAGATTTTGCATTTTTAACAAATCCCTAGGTGGTGTAGCTGCCGGTGGTCCAAGGACTCCAGTACTCTAGATCCAAGGTGCTGATAAGGTGGGCTTCTCTGTTCTTTTCCCCACAGGGCAGGTGAACTTCAGTGGACACAACTGAGAAAAACTCCATAGGCGGGGGCGGCAGGAGGGCTATCCCTGAATGCTTTCTGCTGAATATTTGCAAAGAAAAGTACAATTTGCATTTTTGGTCTCTTTCTCCCCCTTCTCCCACTTTTTCTGCAAATAGTTTTCTCAGAGTTGTTGCAGAAACCTGTATTGCACGTAAATATCTGCTCATATCCACCCTTTGTTATCCATCCATCTCCACGGACTTGAGAGTTGTTGGAGGAGATCACTGTCTCCCAGGAGGCAGTGAGCTGGGTGAGGTCCAGGGCGTGCACCCAGCTTGAGCTCTGGTTGACAGCTTGCTGTGGCAAGAAGGGACCTGGTAATGAGTACATCATTTGGAAGGCCAGTTCTGAAATGCCGCTTGTGAAATAATTGCCAACAGTCACCATCTCTGCCCTCCATTGCACTCCCCACCCCCTTTCCAGGCATGGGTTTGGGCAGCCGGTCCCAGATCCCCTGGATGGAGAGGCTCATGGGATGGGTGTCTAGAATCACCGGACATAAACCCCTTCCCAGTTGCCTGAGCTGCACAGAAAAATGATCTGGGCTTCCTTTTCCTGATGCAGCTCTGATTTGGAAGAATGGTGGTGACTGCTCTCAGCCCTGAATGGGGGAGGTGGTTGTGCAGGGCCAGAGCCCTGCATTTGGCTTCTGGGATGGGAACGGAGATGAAAACGGAGATAACATAACCTCATGTAATCAACCCAAAAAGTTTATCAAGTTTATCTTAAGGTTCATCTCCCTGAGCCAAGAATTGAGGCTGGGAGAAGTAGTTGCCTCCCCAGAGCCCCAGCTGGAGGCTCCCTGGCTGGGACTCGCCTCCTCTGATGCCATCTTGCCCAGCCCAGCCCGTCCCACACTCTCTCTCTCTCTCTCTCTCTCTCTCTCTCTCTCTCTCTCACAAGTCAGTCCTCCTTCCCCAGGGAGGAAGTACTAAATAAACTCTAGTCTCGTTGTAGGGTCAGGACCATGACCGATGTACTGTAGTGGCTGATGCTTGAGGTTCAGAACTGTTTGGACCCGTCTTTGGTCATGCCAGCTACCCGGGTAGGACCACAGCATCTGCTGAGACACCTCCTCTGGGAGTTTTTCCCATGTTAGCAGATCCTCTTGTCTCAGAGCCATTGACTTTTTTCTGTTTGTGACTCACCCCCAGAAGAGTAGGTGTGCTGTTTTTATTTTTGACCAAGGGGAAGGATCCTGACAGTAGCTCAAGTGTGTGGTCAGTGTGTGAAGTCACTGCGGAGGTGGTCAGAGAGTGTGCTGGCTCCCCCATTGGGTGAATTGCTTCAGGGCTGTCCTCCCAACCCTCTACCAAGTTTCTTAGTAGGAAGGAAAGGGGAAGAACAGGATGGGTCCTGACTTTCTGAAGGGGAAGTTTTTGGTTTTGTTTGGCTTTGAAGCATTTGAAGTCGCTGAAATCCCCGAAGCATTGAGGGGACCTCCCAGTGATTCTGACAGTACAACTGTTTGCACAGCCTCGCCGGACCAGTCAGGACAGGTTAGGTTATGCTGCAGTAATAAACATCCTGCAAATCTCGGTGCCTTTAAACCAGAAACTTCTCTCTCATATTGCATGCCCTTTGCTGGTTGGCATGGAGAGTCTGTTCTTCAAAGCCACTCGGGGACCCAGGCTGATGGATCCCAGCCACCACATCTGCTGTTGCCAGTCACCATGCCAGAGGGAAACCAAGAGAGCCTGGAAGCTCCTACATATCCAGACCATCCTACACAGTGGGAGCAGGAGGTGCGATCCTATCATGTGCTCAGAATGGGGAAGGGGGCACCTGGGTGGCTCAGTTGGTTGGGCATCAACTCTTGATTTTGGCTCAGGTCATTATCTCAGTGTTGTGGGATCAAGCTTGGCGCTGAGTATGGAGCCTGCTTAAGACCCCCCGCCTCTCCTTCTGCCCCTCTCCCCTGCTTGCACTCTCTTTCTCTCTCTAAAATTAAAATATATATATATATATATATATTTTAATGAAATGAACTCAACTGTCAGCTACCAACTCATTTCTTAACAACCTTTAAGCCATGGTCCCTGCACCCAGGGAGGAGAGACAAAGAACTACCTGGCCCAGGGAGAATAGAAGGCACCCAGTGACCTGCTGGGCGGGATAGATGTGACAGTGGTGTTGGGAACTCTATTTAAGACTCATGAACTCCTCCAAAGTTGATGGTCACTGGGGTGGATTTCTTGCCTCCATGACCAGGGCTGAAGGCTAGGAGGATGTCTTCCCCACTTCAGGAGGATGGGCTTTCTTTGTGTCACCAACCCCCAGTGCTCCCACAGGGATCATCTGGGTCCTTGACAGTACTTGGGACAAGACGCAAACCAGGGTTCGAACGTGAGCAAGGATCTGAGGGCTCCTGGAAAGGTGTCACCCTGTAGGGTGGGGTGGTGGGTGGGGCTTGTTTGCCAACAGTTTAGTGATGCCTCCTCGGTCTGCATCTCAATTATGGGATTTTTCCACCCAAGTTACTCCACCAGGCTTATGATAAGACTGGTGTGTGTGCGTGTGTGTGTGTGTGTGTGTGTGTGTGTGTGTGTGTGTATGTTTCTTCTTTCTGTGTTGGAAAAACTCAGATATTCCAGGCAGATCTGTCTGCAGCTTCTCCCCCTCAGCCAGAGAGGAGGCTCCAAGCCACAGCCACTTATATTCCAGCACGAAGTCAGCTCTGGGCCCATTGCTGTGGCAGGAAGCCAGGGACGAAGATTGTGACAGACCAGCACAAGCACAGTGGCCGGGATGGTCTTCCTGGCTCTTCCTGCTCCCACCCAACCCACCACATATGCGCGCGCGCGTGCACACACACACACACACACACACACACACACACAATTGTCTCTTCTGGGTCTCGGTCCTCTCATTTCTGTTCCCCCTCCGCCCTCCTTCTCCATTACCCTTTGCCTGTCCATCTCTTTATCACTCCCTTCCTCTCTCTCCTGCCTCCCACCCTCTCTCCTGTCCTTACTCCCATCTCTTGTCTCCCCCACACACCCCCGTCTCTCTACAGAGGGCACTGGGAAAGGGCCCAGCTGCTTGAAGTAACTGCTATTACTCAGAGCTTCCAAGGGAAATAGTCTGAAGCTCCTTCTGGCCATTCCTTACCACCTCCCGTTGGCATCACTTGGCTAAGGATTCTCTGTGAGATGAAGGGAGAAGAAGCCAGGATTCCACCTTTTACAAAATCACTGAAGCAGCCTGGAAGTGACTCCCAAATGACTAATTGTAGCAGAGGCTCCCCCTGCTGAAGTGAGATAGGCCTGAGAAAGCAAACGGTGGGTGCAATGGGAGAGTGGCCAGGTCCTTGTGGGGATCTGTCCTGTCCCCTAGCCTAGCCTCCCTAACCTCAGCTGTCAGGGTAGGAGGGCGGTGCTTGGTCAGGCGTATACTGCCCACTGCCCATTGGCCTGTGCTGGGGCGTTCACATGTCCTCTGCAGGTCGTTTGCAAACTCTGCCTCAGTGTTCTCAAACTTTAGCTTAAGAATCACCAGGAAAGGGGCACCTGCGTGGCTCAGTT